TTTTACATTTTTGTTTTTTGAATTAATCTGTTACAGAAAGCACTAATTCTTCAAAACATCCTAAAAATGTGATGGAAACTAATTTATTAAGGTCTAAAATTTTTGAAGAAGTATTGGAAGATATTGAAGCAGTAGCAGAAATATGTTCACCAACAAAATCTATTTATCATACTGATATAAAACATAAAAAAAAAAGTATAGTAGTATTAAGCATCTTGAATACATTTTTGATATAATACTTAATTTATTTACTATTGTCGCAGAGAAAAGACCATTTGGTCTAAAAAGACGGCCTGATAAAAAAAAATCAAAATCAAAAAAAAGTGATAGTAAAAAAAAAAAATTAGTTGTTAAATTAAATTCAAATAATGTTAAGTAAGTATATAAATATAAATTAATTTTATTTCTTGTTTTATTCAAAATGTATTTATTATTTTTAAGAATAAATCCTAGTATGATGCCAGACAACAGCACATTGAGTTATAATGATGATACAGCAACATCACCACCYTTAAAAAAAATTAAACCATCTCTTCCTGAAAGTAGTCTGCAGGAAAGTTCAATTCAACAGAGTAGTTCACCTTTATTCCAAGACCTAGCTAACATTACTCTATTACAAAAAAGTATCTATTTATTATTCAGACTATAGAATATTCTCATGATAGAAAGGTACCGTTTTGAGCATATAAACTGACTCACAAGTTTGTGCTGGGCCATAAGGCAAGTTAAGTTGAAGGTTCGGCATGGGTATGCACAAAAATGATTGGTTTTCATCGAGATGCGATCCCTTTCTTTCTTGAGAGACTTCCAGTATTATAAGATATGATAAATACTTATTAGTAGGGCTCAGATTTTAAATCATAATAAAAGACAGAAAGCATAAAATTATTTAAAAAAAGTATAAATGAAGCATATTTATATTTTAGAAAAAGGCAATATCAAAATTACCTACATATAACATCAACTATGTATGAAAAAGATTGAAAAATTAATTTAGATTATAAAAAGAATTGATTACCATGTTTTTGCTAAAAAAATAAATTTATTGGATTTAACTTTTATCATTTTAAGTGAATTTACTTTTACAAGTTACAAC